TGGCAGAAAGTCGACGCATGTCTTCCACGCTAATGGGCCAGGATTCGCACCAATACAACACTACTGAGCCAACTAATGTGCTGTAAATGCGGCCATTTCGTGAAAATGAGACGTCGCGACGACGCCACAAGTGCCTCAAATTGACATGCCGATCGAGCTTTAGCGATACGAAGAGAAACTTCTTTGTTGATAGTGCCGTCAGCAGAAACACAGCTCCCAAGGTAGACAAAACTATCTACCTGTTCAAGTTGTGCACCTACGAGAGTGAGCACGAGAGCAGGTGAAAGCCAATCCTTGAGCAGTATTTTACACTACGATGGGGCGAAGCTCATGCCATACTTAGAAGCTTCAACCGCCAAACGATCTAGAATGAGTTGCATACTCCGAGGATCGTCACCAAGTAAGGCGATATCATCAGCATAATCTAAGTCGGTCGCGCGCTCACCCGGTAGAAGCTCTAAGCCAAAAGGTTGAAAACGTTCTAGAGCATTCGACAGAACGTCTTCGATTGCGAGGTTGAAGAGGAATGGGGACATAAGGCAGCCCTGTCGCACACCGCTATTGACAGCGAATTGCGAGGAAAGCTTGCCATAGACCCTCACTCTGCCGGATGTGTGGAGGTAAAGTGCTCGGAAGATAGCGGTGTATTTCTCTTGCACCGCGTTCTTTAGTAAACAACGCCATAAAGCAGGTCGATCAATGGAGTCAAAAGCGGCACGTATGTCTAGAAATGCAATGATAGTGGGCCTGTGATAAATGTGGCGATGTTCGAGGAGCTGGCGGAGCGTGAAGATTTGATCCACGCATCCGCGGCCAGGACGGAAACCAGCTTGTTCTTCACGGTAGTATGATTCACGTACTGGGGATGGCCTGCGAAGCAGAATGGATGCTAATAGCTTAGAGGCAACCGAAATAAGACTAATCCCGCGATGATTTACACATGAAGTGCGAGCGCCTTTCTTGAAAATCGGGACAATAACTGATTCACCCCAAGTGGAATGCACTTTCTCTTCATGCCAAATTTTTGCGAACAGCGCGGTCAGCTGGTTAATGATCGGCACACCGCCGTACTTGAATAGTTCCGGAGGAAGTCCGTCTAAGCCGGCAGCCTTGAAGCGCTTCAAGCATCGAACCTCGAGGCAGACTTCTGCTTCGCTGGGTGGATTCAGAGGGACGAGCCAGGGTGGACAACAACGTGTACTGCATGTACTGATGGATGGTGAAGGCCAGTTGAACTGCGAGTGAAAGTGCTCGGCCCAGCAGCCCATACACCTCTGTTGGTTGGTGATCCGAGACTCATCCACCTCACAAATGACCTCACTGATACCAGGCTGCCTGAGGCCATTGGACCGAATGAGTTAGATAAGCCTGCGAGTGTTGCCAGAGAGGGCAGCGGTCTCCAACTCTAAAGCACTCTCAGACCACCATGTCTCGCGATCCTTGCGTAGGCTTTGCTTGAGCAGCCGGTTGGCAGAACAGCGCCGCTCGTTTCAATCTGATTCCGCGGGGATATCTTTGCGGCGTTCGAACAGCTCCAGAGAACGAGCAGAGATCCAAGCCTTCAAGGGGCGTCGAGTTAGGCCTCAGCATGACTGTCCGGAAATGGTCATTGCCTTCCGTATACAAGTCCAGTGTTGTCCCACTTCTTGCGGTGGAATGCAAGTGAGTGCAAATGCCATTGAAGACTGATAACTCGTCTGGACAGAGGAATCAGTTAATCTGTTTACATCAATCTTGCGGTGCTTCGTGTTTCGGGATCCTCCAAAACACATACAGATTTTCGTG